CCACAACGCCTGGCCATTTTTTGGTTGCAGCCATCATTGTTGTTTGGCGGGCCCGGGCTGGGGATTGGAACCCGCCACCTTAGGTGTATGTGGCTGGTGCCTTAGCCGCTTGAGCCACAGGCGCCGAGCCAATAAGGATATTTCTAAAGTCAGTTTGTCTCACCAGGCTATAGCCAGATAAACTGATAAAATTGGAAAATCTAGCAAAAAGGCTCAACGCTTGTGGCTCAAATGACTAAGGCGCCAGCCACATACACCTAAGGTGGCGGGTTCGAATCCCCAGCCCAGGCCCGCCAAAGAACAATGACGCTGCAACCAAAAAATAGCCAGGCGTTGTAGCAGGCGCCTGTGGTCCCAGCTACTTGGGAGGCTGAGGCAGGAGACTGGCATGAGCTCATGAGTTGGAGGTTGCTGTGAGCTGTGATGCCACGTCACTCCAGCCAGGGGGACAGCTTGAAGCTCTGTCTCAAAAAAAAAAAAAAAAAAATCTAGCAAAAGAAGTTTGGAGAGTAAAGCTGCTAATTTAAAATTTCATACTTTGGTGATGGATGGCAGCACTGATGCTATAAATATGGCTCAACTTACCATTTTTATTAGAGGTATTGATGACAAATATAATGTCACTGAAGAAATGGTTTTAGTGCCATTCAAAGACACAACTAAATCAAGAGATTTATTTGAAGAACTAAAAAAATAGGTTAAAGCAGTTTTTTTTGTTCATTGTCAACATACATGGTATAGTTACCCATGGTGCCCCAGGAGGTAAAACAGAGGGACTTGTAAAATTAATAGAAGATGATGTGGGATGATGTAGTAGCCATCCAAACTCACATTTAATGAAGTATTATTGTAAGTACATCAAGAAAATTAGCTTTAATGGGAGGCACCTGTGGCTCAAGGAGTAGGGTGCTGTCCCCGTATACTCGGGGTGGCAGGTAAAAACCAGTCCCGGGGCAGAAAAACTGCAAAAAGAAAAAGAAAGAAAGAAAAGAAAAGTAACTTTAAAAATAGATAACGTCATGCAAATTGTCAAGACTGACTTTCAGGCTGGGCATGGCTCCTGCCTGTAATTCTAGCTCTCTGGGAGCCTGAGGTGAGTGGCAGGTGTATGGCTTGAGCTCAGGAGTCCAAGACCAGCCTGAATAACAGTGAGACCCTGTCTCTAATAAAAAAAACAAAACAAAACAAAAAAACCCCAACTAACTGGCAGGCACCTGTAGCCCTAACTACTCAGGAGGGTGAGACAAGAAGATCTCTTGAGTCCAAGAATTTGCGGTTGCTCTGAGCTATAATGCTATGGCACTATACTCAGGGCAACAGAAGTTAACTTTTCAGAAGTTAAGAAGGCTAAGTTGAGGCCAAACATTGTAAAGATTTTATGATTTCAGACACATTTTCAAGTCATTTATGGTAGCAAAACCCAAATTTGTGCCAGAGCTTGATGATGAATACTGGCTTACAGATTTAGCATTTTTAGCAAATTTAACCACTCACTTAAATGAGTTAAAGATGCATCTCCAAGGTGAAAACCAATTTATCAGTACAATGTTTCAAACCATAACAGCAGTCCAAATTAAACTGAAATTATGGCAAACTCAAATTAAGGCAAACAATTTTATTCACTTCAACACATGTTGGCTAACCACAGTCCTGTGAACAGTGAAAAATATACAGCCTTGCTTTTCGATTTGATACAAGAATTTGAAAATAGATTTCAAAATTTCCAGGAAAATAATCAATATTTTGGTGCATCTGCAGCTCCATTATTTTTTTAGTTGATGAATATGTTACCTGCCAATTTTCATAGAGCTGCAATCTGACTTGCAATTTAAAGAAAAAAAATTAATCCTGTCTCTTTGCTGGACTTTTATGGGTCCTATCTTTCCTGAAACAAATATCCCTCACGTAACAATCATGCCTTATTCATGCTGTTGCTTTTATGGTAGAACCTACATTTGTGAGCAACTATTTTCAAGAATGAAGCACATTGAGAGTAAAATTAGAACCAAAAAACCTGTGAGCACCTTGAGAACTCACTGAGAATTATAACTCCTTCCGTTGAACCAGATATTGATGCATTAATTTCTTAAATGTAATGTCAAATATCCCACTAGTTTTATGTTGCCCACTTTTCTTTTACTTTTATAACAAAAATATTTAGCAGGCTGAGCTTGGTGGCTTATGCCTGTAATCCCAGCACTCTGGGAAGCCGAGGCAGGTGGATTGCCTGAGCTCATATGTTTGAGACCAGCCTGAGCAAGAGAAAGACCCCATCTCAAAAAAAAAAAAAAAATAGCTGGGCTTTGTGGCAGGTACCTATAGTCCCAGCTATTCGGGAGGCTGAGAGGCAACAGACTAGCTTGGGCCCAGAGTTTGAGGTAGCTGTGAGCTATGATGCCATAGTACTCTACCTAGGGTGACAAAGTGAGACTCTGATTAAAAAAAAAAAAAAAATTAAGAAAACTCCAAAGATGTTATATTACTTAGATATATATTTTTTCCATATTAATGATCACAAACTTGAGAACTGCTAGATGAATTTAAAAGACTCTCTGAATGGGCTGCTGTATAATTAGGATTACTATGTGAGGAATTTTTGCTTTTCTGTGGTGGAAGGTATCATGAAAATTATTCCCGGACCTTTGTTTCACTCATCAGTTATCGTTAGTGTTTGTGTATTTAATGTGTGGCCCAGGATAACTCTTCTTCCATTGTGGCCTAGAGAAACCAAAAGGTTAGACACCCCTGCTTTAGACAAAGCTTCATTTCTTTAACCAGTTACAAATCAAAGAATCTTTAAACCTACCTATAAACTGTAATTCCCTGCTTCAAGATCTCCTGCCTTTTTGGGCCAAACCAATGTACGTAACCCTTCTCTGTTGTGATTTATAATTCAAGTGTAATTCCTGTCTCCCAAAGATGCATAAAACCAAATTGTAAAGCAGCTACAGTGAGACCACTGGCTCAAGGTATCCTGGTGTGGCCCTCTGGGCCCTGGTTGCACATTATTTCATTCAGAACAAATCTTTTAACATTACTTTATGGAGTTTGGGCTCTTTTCCATTGATGGTTATCTGTTATATTCAATGACTAGTCAGTATTATATATTGAGGGTGTTCTATGCACTGTTTATAGAGAGGTACTAATATATGCTGTGACTGACCACAAGCACCAAAGTGCCAGATGTATTCTGCTCTCAGTTAAATTTCACATCTGAGCCCATGTGCCAGGGAGGCAGGAGATTCAAGCTCAGTTACTATTGAGGCCCTGCTCCCTTTGGGTTGCCCAGGAATAAAAGCAGTGCAGTTTCCAGAAAAAGGAAAAGGGCCAGCATCTCCATTCTCAGCTCAAGCATTGAGGGCCCCTGAAGCCCTAAGGTGTCTGCTTTAGCACAGGGCAAAGGGCTGCAGACTTTACTCTGGAAGACAACCCCAGCCCTTGTTTTCCTGCCACCCAATTTCTTCCCCTCTGAGGTTGGAGAATATCAGGAAGGTTGTATAGTGGGAAAATAGATGCCAGAAGGAGGGTGGAGGTGGGGAGGCCAGAACCTGTAAGATGTTTCTTAGCATGGTGACCCCAAAGTTGGCTTTCCCCAGGGCTTTCTGGGTTTGCCTCTGCTGTTGGATGAAGGGGCCACTCTTTTTTTTTTTTTTCCTTCCAGTTTTTGGCTGGGGCCGGGTTTGAACCCACCACCTCCGGTATATGAGGACGGCGCCCTACTCCTTGAACCACAGGCGCTACCCTGGGCCACTCTTTCTGTTTCAAAAGTGATAGGTTCGTAGGGTGTTAGGTGGTCACTGTGCTCCAAGATCATGGTGTATGTTCCTGACTTAATCTGGAGAGGAAAATGGGAAACCGTAAGATCTAAAATCTAAGAAAGGGGGTAGCGGTAAGTGATATGCACTTCATAAAGACCCTGGAGAGGCAGGGGTGTGAACTCATCTACGGTGGTGGCACTTAGGCCCCTCAGTGCCAAGCTCCCAGGCAGCTCCTCTTTGACCTGTCCTGAAGCCTGGCGGTCTTCCCTGCCAGGAGGGACTCCAACTGTGCAGCCCAGGCAGGCCTGACCCTGAGTGAGGCCAGGTTGGCTTCCTGCCCAGAGGCTGGATCAGAAATGGTGGAGAAATTCCTGCATTTTCCCAGTTGGCCTGGAAGGGATCAAGTTACCTTCTGGTCCGCAGACAGAAGGGGCTCCCCTTGGAAGGGGGCACAGGGACTGGGGCCGACTGACAGGCTCCCACTGGTAGTCAGGCTGGGTGTGGGACAGAGGCCTTGCAGGGCCCGCAGCTCCGGCGGACCGCGGCGAGCGAGGACCCAGAGTGGAGCCAGGGGGGCTGGCGGGCGCCTGGACGCCCGGGCCAGGGGCGGGGCCGAGGCTTGGCGAGGCGAGGCGAGAGCGGGATGTGAGGGGCGGAGGAAAGCGCGAGGCGGCCAAGACTCTCGGGAACTTGTCTTAGTGGCCCGGCGGGTGGACTTTGTGCCGCCGGGGGGCGGATTCAGGCCGGGTGGGAACCGGTCCAGGCGCGAGTGAGGACGCCCACCCCTGCCTGGCGCCAGAGGACGCGCGCCACCCTCCGGGGCCCCTCTAGTTCCGCTCCGCCCCCTCCTCTGCTCACCTCCCCGCCCCGGCAGCCCGCTCCCAGCCTCGCCTCGGCGCGCCATTCCCCGCTGTTCCTGGCCGCGCGTCCCAGCCATGGAGGGCCTGGTCCAGCGACCAGCCAAGGGCTACCGGGTGGTGCTGCTCGGGAGCGTGGCCGTGGGCAAGACGGCGCTGGCCACCCAGTTCGCGTGCGGCAGCTTCCCCGAGCAGTGCGAGCCGTCGGTGGAGGACCTCTTCAGCAAGGTGATCGAAGTCAACGCGAAACCCGCGCTGCTGGAGATCGTGGACACCGTGGGCGCCGAGCACCTGGTCACCCTCAAGGACCTCTACATCAAGAACAGCGACGGCTTCGTGGTGCTTTACAGCGTGTGCAGCGAGGCCTCGTTCGAGGCGGTGCGGCCGCTGCGCGAGCGCATGGGTCGGCTGCGGGGGCCTAAGGCCGTTCCGCTGGTGCTGGTGGGCACCAAGGCCGACCTGGACGCCGAACGCCAGGTGCTGACGGCGCAGGGCCGCGAGCTGGCGAGCGAGTGGCGCTGCCCGTTCCTGGAGGTCACAGCCAAGAGCAAACTGATGGTGGACCAGGTGTTCACGCAGGTGGTGCGCGAGATGGAGGCCCTGGCCCCGCGCCAAGAAGTCCGGCAGATCCCCATCCACCCCCAGATTACCTGGCCATCGGAAAGATTCATTGGCTAATACGCAATGGATGATGTTTAATGGGATCATGTCCTTTCGGGATCTCCGAAGCTCACTATTTCTACTCTGCCTTTTTAAAGAAAGTTATTGAGCCGTAAACTCTTGGTGACTTTTACATATTAACTCAAATCAGTGCTTCAAGCTGTCTTTCTTCACTCTTTCTTCACTTATTTGGTGAACACTTTGCAACTTTGTGTACCTCTGGTAGTGCTAGAAGAAGCCAAAAACCGCATTATTTTTTTTCTTGCATCGAGAGAGTACTGCCCTTTTCTTCAAGTAGAACTTGTTACTGGATTTTCTTTTGTAATTAACACCTTTTGAATTGCAGCCAGTATTTGAATTGATTGAGGAGCTTAAGTTAGTTTAAGGTTTGCTTCCATGAGATTTTTGTGTGTTTCTCTCTCCTTTGTAGCATGGAATTGCAGCAGTAATATTTTCCTCTCTGTGTATTTCTAAGTATAGTTATGACATACATAGCATTGGTTTGAAAAGGGATATTGCATACCCTGGGAGGGGAGAAAACAACTGTGTACTCGCACAAAGATAGCTCAGCTTTGCTTTTTTATAACTGACATCTTGTTGATTTCTGTGCCTGTAAATTGTGTGAAAATAAAATTACTTTAGAAGTTTATAATTTTCAATATTTTCCTAACTATTGTTTAAATCTATAATTCCTGAAATCTTTAGACTCTGCCTTTCTGCTTTTCATTTATTTTCAAGGAAACAAGTTGGTAACTAGAGGGCAAATCTCCACATCTTCTGGTGTGTTTTCGCAGCCAGTTTTTTCTTGTTTGCGAGATTAAGATATTTTGTCTGAATACCTGCATAGTTTAACAGTGATGCGGGTACAGAAATAGAAGCAAAACGTATAGGATTTTTTTTTTTGCATATTTTTCACGTGATAACAGATTTTTCTTGCATCCGTTTAAAAATGTTATTGTTTTAAAATTTATCTTTTGAGTGTGCTTATTTGTAGAAGTTGCTGTCACCTCCCCAGCTGCAACATATTTATCAAATTTAGGAACTCAAGTTACCATTCGAACATCTTTAAAAAAAAAAAAAATTAGCAAGAAGGCTCAAAACTATGCCTGTGATCTGAAATAGTTAATTTTCTTAAGGGAAAGTTGTTTTTATAGTGATGGTTACAGAAAGCTCTGATCATTTTTATTTGTATTGTACCTGATGTTTTAATACAAGGATAGATTTTACCTTGACATAGAAAATATTTTTTAAAACCTAACAGCAAATTCATCACAGGAAAGGACTAGGCTGAGACTGTACCTTGTTTTTTATCTCTTCCTCTCTCTCTGAGGACAGTTTGGGAGTTGGGACACTTACTTTTGAAGCCTTGAAACCTAGCTGACTCACTCTCTTCTGGTTGGTCTTCTGGGGTCCCTCCTCCTGGCAAAGCCCTAATCACCTCCCCAAGAGCACATATCAAATGGCAGAGAGGGGGCAGGGAGTACCTTCCCCAGCCTCATCTGTCATCGTCCAAAGCCATCCCCTCCTCCTGCTGGAGCACAGGAAAAACAGGAGCTTATTCACTGAGTATTGGGCTGTGCAGGAAAAGCCCATGGAGAAGAAACAGCACCCTGTTCCAGCCAGGAGAGCTGGGTCCCAATGACTGGAAGCTGGATGGCCCCTTGACGCCTAACTGCCCTGCTCTCTGACTCCTTACCTGCTTGTGCTGAGGCCTCTGGGGAGGTCTTGTGTCCTAAGATCCTGGTGCCTCTGGACATTAGGCCTCAATCCAAGAAAATGTTCCCAAATAGCCATTTTTGCCTTTAGATTCCTAAGAGTGGCTTAGACATTCTCAGTCAGATCCATGTTCTCAACTTAGAGCCCAGAGGGGTTCCTGACTGGTGGATGTGAGGAATGACCAGGCCACGTGGCCAGCTCCGGTTCCCTCAGGAGTGTGTTAGGAAGAAGCTTTCTGACTGTGTACAGACAGGCACACAGAAACACAAAATTCAAAACTTACACAATGAATTTTCTTTCTCTTATATTTTTAATTTCTAACTTTTGTATGTTACATAAAAATTTCCTCAGTACTGCTGGAGGCAAGAAGACCTAAATAACTCCAAAGTAGATTTGTAAGTGGCAAATAAGACTGCCTGTCAGGGTACTGTGTCTAGGTAAATGACAAGAAACTGGAGCAGGCTAACTTGTTATCTGGAAGTTTGGGTAAAATCTCCACAGGTTTTTTTTTTTTTTTTTTTTTTTTGAGACAGAGAGTCACTTGGTCATCCTTGGTAGAGTGCCATGGCATTATGGCTCACACCAACCTCAAACTCTTAGGCTCAAGAGATCCTCTTGCCTCAGCCTGACATGTAGCTGGGACTATAGGTGCCCACCACAATGCTGGGCTGTTTGCAGAGATGGGGTTTCGTTCTTGCTCAGGCTGGTCTTGAACCTGTGATCTCAGGTAATCCACCCGCCTCAGCCTCCCAGAGTGCTGGGACTATAGGCCTCCATAGTTCTTGACACTGGTTATAAGCTGTGTGCCTGATCAGCATGACCAGCGGCATCAGACTGGGAATAGACACGAATGGTTGCCAGCCGGCCAAATGCACTGGCAGGTCTCTTCTTACCAATGTGTCGTGGTTTCACTTTCCATTATTCAGATTGCTGGTGATGTTGAGAATTCTTTTGGAGGGTTTAAAGTGACATTTATTTTTGTCTTCTGTGAAATGCCTGTTCCTTTTGCCAGCTTGAAAGACTGTGTGAACCACCACTAACAATCCTTCCATAAAATAATAACTCACCCTAGAAAAAGTGCTACATACCTCATTGTTGGATAACACTACAGTCACCTTTGAAGTACTACCCTTGGCCATTTGGTAATTGTTGTGATATTCAGCAATGAGGTACATACCACTTTTTCCAGAATGAGTTCATGAACTTAATTGTCAGACCTCATATGATGACAGCTGATGGCCATTCCAGTAAAAGAGTTCTAAAATTGGTTTGAAGGGTAGACTAGGTGCTGGCATTGGTGCATAGCTTTCCAAGGGGAGTGTCTTGAAGGTGACACTGTAGTGCTGTTCAGCAATGAGATATGTAGCACTTTTTCTAGGACAAGTTCTCAAACTTAATTGTCCAACTTCTTCCACATAAGGAAGAAAATATTTATGGCTGCTATAGTCATTATTTCTGTAAGTGGTCATGAGTACATAGCTAATTTTTTAAATTGTGATAAAAATACACCTAAGTTGGCCGGGCATGGTAGCTTACACCTGTTAATCCCAGCACTCTGGTAGGCCGAGGTGGGCAAATCACCTGAGCTCATGGGTTCAAGACTAGCCTAAGTCAGAGCAAGACCCCTAACTCTAAAAATAGCTGGGTGCTGTGGCAGGCACCTGTAGGTAAGGGAATTGCTTGAGCCCAAGAGTTTGAGGTTGCTGTGAGCTATGACACCATAGTATTCTATAGAGGATGACAAAGCAAGAATCTGTCTCAAAAAAAAAAAAAATCACATAACAAAATTTACCATCTTAACCATTTTTTACTGTACAGTTCAGTAGTGTTAAGTATATTCATATTGTTGCAAATCTCCAGAACATTTTCATTTTGTAAAACTGAAGCTCTATGCTCATCACAACACCCCATTTCCCCCTTCCACCAGGTCCTGGCAACCACCATTCTATTCTCCTGTCCCTATAAATTTGACTATTCTAGATACTTCAAAAGTGAAGTAATACAATATTTGTCTTCTTCTGAATGGATTATTTCATTTAGTATAAGGTCCTCAAGGTTCACCCATATTGTACCACATGTTAGAATTTTCTTTCTTGGTAAGGCTGAGTAATACTCCATTCTATGGGTAGACCACACTTGCTTAGCTATTAATGTCAATGAACATTTGGGTTGCTGCCAGGTTTTGGCTGTTGTGAGTAATGTTGCTGTGAATGTGGATGCGCAAATCTCTCTTTGAGACCCCGTTTTAATTTCTTTTGGATGTATACACAGGTGTAGAATTGCTGGATCATTTGGTAATTATATTTTTAAGTTTTTGAGGAGCACCATACTGTTATCTACAGTGGCTATACCATCTTACATTTTCACCAACAGTCCACATCTTCACCAACACAATTTTCTGTTTTTATCTCCGTAGTGGCCATTCCAATTAATGAGAGGTGATATTTTGTTGTGGTTTTGATTTAAACTTCCCTAATAATTATTGATGTTGACCATCTTTTCATATGCTTCTTAGCCATTTGTATTATTTGTTTGGAGAAATGATTGTTTGGAGAAGTGTCTATTCAAGCTCTTTGCTCATTTTTGAATCTGGTTGTTTGTTTTTTTTGTTGTCAAGTTGTAGGAGATCTTTATATATTCTGAATATTATCTCCTTATGAGATATGTGACTTATAAATATTTTATCTCATTTCATAAGTTGCCTTTTTAATCTATTTCGTCCTTGAATACATAGGAGGTTTAATTTGATATAGTGCAACTAATCTACTTTTACTTTTGCTTTCTGTGTTTTTGGTATCATATCCAAGAAACCACTGCTAAATCCAATGTGATGAAACTTTTCCCCTACATTTACTTCTAAGAGGTTTATAGTTTTAGATTTTACATTTAACTCTTTGAGTTAATTTTTGTTCATGGTCTAATTCTGTTCAATTTTGTTTTTTAACGTATGGACATGCATTTTCCCAGCACCATTTGCTGAAGAGACTGTCTTTTTCCCTGTTGAAGTTCTTGACACTCTATTGAAAATCATTTGATTCTATATGTGAGGGTTTATTTACGGGCTTACTATTCTATTCCATTGGCCTATCTGTTTATCTTTATGCCAGTACCACACTGTTTTGTTACTGTAGCTTTGTCATAAGTTTTGAAATGAGGAAGATATCTAACTTTATTTTATTTGTTTATTATTATTTTTTGAGATGGAGTCTTGCTCTTCTCTTGCCCAGACTAGAGGATAGTGGTGCGAACTTAGCTCACTGCAGCCTCGAATTCCTGGGCTCAAGCAATACTTCTGCCTCAGCCTCCGAGGCAGAAGGACTATAAAGTGCATACAAACACACCTGACTAATTTGTTTTATTTTTTGTAGAGATAAAGTCTTGCTATGTTGCTCAGGTTGATCTTGAACTCCTAGGCTCAAACAGTTCTCCCACCTGGGCCTTCCAAAGCACTGGGATTACAGGTACAAGTAACTGCATCCAGCCCCAACTTTGTTCTTTTTCAAGGTTGTGTTAAAAAAAAATCACACAAATTGGGGGGAGGATGTTTGGCAGAAGGAGAGAGGGCATGAGCTGGGATCTCACCTAATGTGCACACTGTGAGGGTGTATAACATGCCCCCTGGGTGAGGGGCTCTTCTACAAACAGAACTTTACCCTGGAAGTAAGAACAATGTAACCTAAAAATTGTACCCTCATGTTAATTAAAAAAAAAAAAATTACTGGCTCGGTGCCTGTAGCTCAGCGGCTAGGATGCCGGCCACATACACCAGGACTGGTGGGTTTGAACCTGCCCCAGGCCTGCCAAACAACAATGACAACTAAAACAACAACAACAACAAAAATAGCCAGGCGTTGTGGCAGGCGCCTGTAGTCCCAGCTACTTGGGAGGCTGAGGCAAGAGAATTGCTTAAGCCCAAGTGTTTGAGGTTGCTGT